ACTATATACTGCTGTGCCTCTGGCATGGAGCTCCTTCATCGTGCATAGGTATTGTCCTTGCAAATGCCCCTGTTCTCACTTTCATAGATCCCATCTTCCATGAGCAGGGGGCAAGCTGCCCGGGTCGCTAGATCGGCACCAAGCCAGCCGCGTGGCTAGCGCCAGTTCTCCCTAACAAGCTCTGATATTATCTGTCGGGAACGCGCGCCGGCAGGAATTGTATTGTTCACCAACTTGTACTGATCTTGTTGATTCCGAGGTCACAACAGACTGTGCTGGATTACAGCAGCCGCCTGCTGCTATCGCAAGCGAGCGAGTCGTGCCCCGCTTGGAGCTAGCGGTTGTCCCATGCACAAAGAAAGTCAAAGCGCATCGGGCCAACCAGCACTCCCGGGCTAACTACCCGGCGCCGCTAGCCTGGACTCTTCTGGGTGGTGCCATCTGCGGCTGGCTCTACCCATAGGGTTTCGAGGCAAAGAAGCCATCTAGTGCCTATGTCTAAGTCATGCAGGGTTGAATCTTAGCTCAAGAAACCATGCTCATTACTGAATGTGATGCTGATTCTGGAATGAATCTCAATATTTTCCGAACCCGGTTTCTCGAGCCAGTTATTGGAGGTCATGAAGCACGTTGAGGAAAATATTGACGCTGAGCCCCCAAAACAAACATACGTCCAAATCAGAACTGGAGCGCTAGTGTACACTGGATTCTGTCTCTTCCATCTCAAATGCCGTACATTGAACTGCTTAATTGCCATCCATCTAGTAGCTGAAGCTCCAATTATTGCCAGTAGCTTGAAGGGTGAGTTCCAGCCGCATGAAGACGCTGGAATAGTCAGACATTTCCAGCTTTTGGCCACCATGACCTGAGACCAAAGTGTCGGTCTGCTTGGTGCGATGCCCGTTTTATTCTCTTCGTTCTTGCATTGGCTGGAATGTAGTGTTAGCTAGCGAGCTCACTTACACGGACCTACGGCACGATAAGATAAGAGCATTGGGCAGACACTGACCCACTCAACACAAAAAAGAAGGCATGGATGAACAGCCCAACCAACATCATCAGAGTCATGGAGAAAAGCAGCAAGTCGGCACCCGCCGATGCGCAGGGGCCAACGAAGCGAAAGAGGGCGGATGAACAGAAGGAATCTCCAGATGAACAACGAAAGGGCCAGCAACTCCAGAAACGCCGACAGCCAAAAGCATCGCGAACCGCAGAGACGAATCTTTCCAACCCCCAGAGCTCCATCATTTCAGTCCTCGCGCCCAAGTATGACGTCCTCGCAGCTTCGGTTATCTCATCAACACGAATTCGCAATCGAATTATTCGCGCTACGGAGCACTTTCGGCAGTACAATGCCGCAAGCGACAACGGTCAAGGACAGTCTCGACCGGTGGTGCTGCTGCATGCGCGGCCGAGGGAAGCCTGCAAGCTCATCACGGTGGTGGAACAGTGTAAACGGATTTTGAAAAAGGACGGCCGCCCATTCTACCAGTACAATCAGCTCTTCGACCTGCCGCCCGAACCTAAAAAGCCCGAGATCGTGGAGGCCACCGTGCTGCAAGACGCCGAAGACGAGGAGTCAGAAGAGGATGATTTCGAGGTCATGGAATCCCGATTCGAGCAGGCGATCCAGCCTCCACCTGATACCAAGGTCATCAAATCTCTGAGAATATTTATCGCCCCTATGCCAGTCCCCGAGCTGAAGCAGATGAGCGACGTGACAGTACAGGCGGCTGGTGGAAGCTAGATGTGCATTCACAAGTTCGCCCACATCGGCGGCAAGTTTGTGCCGCGTACGATACGAATGAAACGATTTGCGATTTATGGCGCTTAGGTCACGTAGAAGTAATCAAGAAACAGTACGGGATACCCTCAAGTCTATAGAAACAATACTAAACAGTTTTCACTTTACAAATTATGGAACAAACAAGCCAAACCATCATTCCTCCTCTTCCCGATCAATTGCGCGTCCCCGATTGAAGAGCCAGCAAGTGTTCCTGTGCCCAGATCCACCCCCGTACCCGATTGCATAGACAAGAGACTTTCATCCTCGTATTCTCCCATTGACCAACTTATCGGTTAGAAAATCCAGGTTTCCCGGAGTTGATAAGTGGTTCCCTTGGAGAGCTCTCCATTTACAATTGGCCGTCCTGCTGCTTCTTGGAGCGATCGGTAATCCTCAGAACAAAGTTCACGATGACGGCCAGCAGGAGAATAATGGCCAGAACCGTAGGGCCGAACCGGTCATCGAAACCGGCCTGTCCTCGCACCCTAATCGACTTGGCTCTCCAGTGGTAGGTGATCAAGGCGTAGATCATGGTCAACATGGCGACGCCGGTGAAGAGGAAGGCCGAGATGAAGGCAGGGCGGTCGCCAAAGTTGAGCATTCCAATCGCCAACGCGCCCAGGACAACAGTGAAGTTCAACCAGGACAGAAAGGTACGCTCGTTGGCGAAGAAGACCTTGGGCTCGACTCGCGTGGGAAGGGCAATGCGCTTGCCTAAATGAAGGTGTTAGCTCCTTGTCGATTAGGCATAGAGAACAGAAAGATCACGTACCTGGAGCGGTCTGGAGAAGAGGCTGGGAAGACATGGTGGCGATGTTAAACCCCTCGTAGCAAAGCTTTTGTTGATATGGTGCCGATCCGGAGCTCCTGGAGCAATGTTTTCTCGATTGAGCTGTTTGTTGGGGACGGGAGCGGGAAATAGTAATATCCAAAATTGATGCTGGTCTGGGCGAGCTGCAGGGCAGGTTTTATTTCCTCTGGAGCAATATTCAATGGGTTTCCTCGATATGAAGGGGGATAAAATTCCAAGGGAGCAAAGAGCTAGACAACGGCTGGGAGTGACGATTTCACACAGAGCCCCCACATGGCCTGAATTGGGAACATTTTAGAGGGCACGTGGGGAGTTTCAGCGCTGACAACAACTCCATGGTTGGACCTGGTCTCCACTCGTTCGGGTGTAGTTCGTGCCTGGGTTGACTTAGACGGTATTTATCCAGAAACCTCACAAATTGAATGCTTTGCACACGCATTGGTGTGACGAATGGATATAAAACTTTCCATATCTCTGTGATATCTATCCTCTAGATTATGTTTCTTTCTGCCCATGTTGTAATAACATGCATTTGCAACTATCACTGCATCGAGGTAAATGAGCTGCCTCAGTGGGCTTCCTTCCTACCTTGGTAGGTAGCTCAGTGCTAAAGCACGTGACCCAGGCGGTTGCCCCGCGAGAGCATCACTATCGGACAGGCCACCGACCAAAAAGGAAATGGGACTAGAACGTCAACAGTCGTACCGCGTTTGAATTGTGGCCATACAGACGCGATTCCTCTTTTTTTCATGGTATGCATGCATGCAATTACATCTCATCACCCCATTTTTTTCTTTTCCCAATCCCCTGACAGCCTTTGCTAATTCTTGATAAAGACAACATACTCGCTCGGGCCCCTTATTTTCTTCGTGTGATCAGTAAACATCAACATTCTCCAAGATGGCTACTCCTGTGAGTAAAACAATTCGACAGCGGATCATGTCCTTAATAGCCATCATTACTGACTCGTGCTCTTCTCCGCAGCCCGTCTCTTTCACTCGCCTAAAGCAGATTGCTACCGATGTATGAGACCCCGACCGGCTTGACTGTCTCTGCCGAACATGGCGCCTTGAGTCATGCGAATATAACGAATCTAACGAGGAGAATAGGTGTGCAACAACGCCATTGGAAGCGTCGAGTTCTACGACCACGCGAAGACCGAGGAATGGAACTCTTCTATTATTGTCAGTTGCATATCCACCCAGACAAGGGAGAGCAGGGCCGGACTCTAACGCTTAACACCTACAGAACGCCCTTTTGAAGGCTGTCATCTCAGAGGCTACCCCCCAGGGCGCCACCAACCCTTCATACAAGTTCGCCTGCAACAGCACCATTGTGCAGCACCTCGTCCCTACATCGGCCCTGAACAAGGCCCGCGGCGGCAGCGAGACCAAGGAGGAGCCTCACATCTCGACCAGCTCCGAGGCCACCGCCACAGACGGCAAGCCTCACGTCGGCCGCCGTGGCATGCACAGCGCCACCGGAGCCTACTGGGACGAGAAGAAGGATGGCATGTGGACATACAAGTACGACGGCGGAGAGAGCAAGGGACTGGATGTGGTCATTATGTTGATCTGGGTTGCCATCTAAAAGGGGTTTCTTGCTGGATGTTGGAAAAGTATCACAACCATGAGGACTCTTGCTCTACGTTGGCTAGTTCCATATTGGCATCGGATCCAGAGGCCAGCAAAAGGTCCCTTGGTACGACATTTCGCCCTCCTAATAATACCTACCTACCTGTCTAAATTTCTGCTAGTAAATTTTTGTAAGCTCCTGTCAATGCTGTATGCGTCTGACGAGTTTGGTTTTTAAGGCATGAAGTCATTTCGATGTTTAACTGGAAATTTAAGGGGCTAGCCAATCAAACCAGTGGCAGGCCCATGATCGTTATCTGCTTACCTGAAGGTACCTACATGTATGGCATGACGGCATGAGAGCATTGATATCGGCGGAGCCTGGCACATAAATGATCTGGAGAGGGCAATTGGCACTACCTACGTAATGTACTCCAGAGAGGGGAGACAACTGACGTTGAAAGCCCCGCCGCCATGTAAGTCGTTTAAGTAAACCAGCTTCTATTTTAAACTACCCTATGAAGAAGAAAGTGAGCGGGGGGAAAGAGTGCATAGCTCAAGAAGGATGTGGCTACGGAATGCGTATCCAGGTAAGGTAGGTAGGTAAGCAGACAGGAAAAGGAATCACGTGCTTCCACCTGCAGCTTCGAAGATGAAATGTTCAATATTGCGGTTGTTGCTCTGGTGCCACTATAGCCATCTCATTACCACTGTTCCTAGAACTATAACAGCTGTCGCCTTGTAATCGTTGATATGTCCTGCACGCTACTTCGTATTATTTCAGTGAAGGCAAGGGAATATATACACCTAATAACTAAATTTTTCGCAAGCCCCACTGGCGCAATGGCTAGCGCGCAAGACTTCTATAGTCATCTTGAGGTTGTGGGTTCGAGTCCCACGTGGGGTTATTTTGCACTTTTTTCCTTTTTGCATCACCTTTAATTGTTGAGGTACTGTCTTTACTCTCAAGTGCAAGAAGTGGCCTACCGTATTACGTAGATTCTAAACCGACTACTCTTCTAAAACTGCAGATTACAGGTTACCAAAAGTACTAGAGCTCCCTTTGCAAATCGTGGTTATTACATGCCCTTGACTGAGATTTAGTTCTGATGGACGAGAGATGGGCGAGACTGACAAGAGCCATGTACATACTCCGTACACAAATTCAGAAAACCGGGTAATGGGAACAGACTTGGTGTGTACCATCCCACCCATGCTGCAGTTCTCCGGTTCCCACAGTACCTAAAAGTAAAGAAGACAAGAATTGGTTGGTACGCATAGAGCAAAAGATGCGACTCCCTGTTGGAGGTGCTTCCCCCCAGTTTTCATGGCGTGAGCGTGGGGGGATTCATGCATCACGGGGGCAGTAAAAAAAAAAATACCAACGATGCAAGCAAACAACAGGACTTCGGCGTGATAAAGCTGGACAAAGAGAAGGGTGCGGAATTGGGCGCCAGCGTGGGATGATTAGGCAGTGGGAAGTGGGAAGTGGCGTCTGCGACATCCAGAGAGCGTTGCATGACATATGCAAAGCCAGGAACAGGGTGGGCGTGCAGGTGGACGAACACTCCATACTACAGTACCTACCACCTACTTGAAGGTTGAATTCCTAGGATATCGGGATCGTACGGAGCAGGCTGGGGATGGGCAGCCGCTGACCGGGCATCCTCCTCTGCCTCGCCGCCGAGCACATTTCTCTTGATCGTTGCGTCAGGGTCCAGCTCCTGCTTGGCGGGCGGTGTCCATAATGATGTCGTTTGCCCAGGAATGAGTGGTCCTAGGTGGAGAAATTGGTGAGGCTTGCCGGAGATCGTCTCCGCTTTGAAGGCCGGTATCTGTTTAGCAGTGTTTGGCGGCGGGGCTCACGCATCACTACAAGATATGATTGACAATGAGAGTCCTGATATCAAGGGAGGAGAGTGGAATCTCGAGGGCAATATGGAGCCAGCGTGGGAAGCGAAGGGATCAGCCTGCTGCACGTCGTGCTGGCAAGTACCTGATCATCCGCCTGTTCATGGCCGGGACGGTGGTGGATGGATGGATGCTGTAGGTACATGAGAGGCTCGGCTTTCCGAACGGGGACCGCCGCATTCAATGAGACTCCAATCTGCTCGCGTCGCGGGCAAGGGAAAAAGGAAGAAAGCGCTGACCCGGACTTAGCCGAGACCATATCTCAGACCAGGCGACAGACAACTCGACGAAAGCGTTCATTCTCCTGTGGCACAAAAAACTGGCCAGTCGTACCTCTATGTCCACCGGTGCCCATGGCGTTCCAGGTACCTCGCGCCCCCGAACGATTAATGCCGTCGGGGCGCCAAATCGGTACCTACAAACTAGGCCCGGATTTGAATGAATGTGGTCACGATGGACTGCTTGAATAGCCACAGGCCCACCTGGGGCGAAAGGCCTTCCGCCCTGTGCAATGGCATCAGTTTCCGGGCACTTAGCCGGCCGTTTACGTCGGCCAGGGTCAGGAGAATGCCTCTGCAAGTGGAAAGGAAGGCTCCGGCCTGAAGATCACCTCCAGCCCATCACATCGTCTGATGCACGGTTGCATCCACAAAATGGAGCCCAGAGAGTCCATCGAAGCAGGATGCAGCCACCCAGGCCAGCGAGGGCCTCTTACTGTGTTTGATCTGAGCTTGTACACCCATCTGTCTGATTAGTATTTATGGGCTCCCAGCTTTCTCCAGTTGTCTAGTCTGCCCGGTCCCAACCCCTGTCCTGTGGCTTTTCGACGAGTCACGATGCACGACTCGCTCCTAGTATGAGACCAGTCTCCATCCGACTGCAGCCCCGTCCCTGTTGCCCTCTTTAAAGGCTTTATTACCCTGCCCGCTGCCGGTCCCGTCCGTCGCGTGGTGGCAATTCTCGATCTTTTCCTCCATCATCGGCCCTCAACTCCCCAACGGCCAGGCCTGTAGCCACTCTTCAAGACTAACGTTTTTTTCTCCTTGCCAAGGCTAAGCCAGCACATCTCGGCACCTTTATCAATTCGACCTCCCTCCCCCTTGCCCTGGTCACACCTGCTCTCCAACTGATGAACTCGCTATTGAAGATCTATCTCCACAGCACACCTCCGCACTCGACAACTCATCATCACAGGCTGCTTCCATCTTGACTTGAGTCAACCCCAGATTGGTTAAACTCACAACTCATATCGAAGATCACAGAAGACAGCCCAAGAACAGCCTAGTCTTTTCCCAAGTTTCTCTGGGAGATACACTTTGCCTCAAGCCTGCTCTCGGCTCAACGTATCCGCGAGCAGTCACTACCATACTCTTATCAACCATGGTCCAGGTATTCACTGACCCGGCCGTTTCTCGCCATGTCACCGCCAACTCTGCCTCTGATAAGCCAGAAGGCGAGGTCATGTCAAGGGAGGAACATGCCCAGCGCATGAAGGACTTGGCCGCCAAGCGGGGTATAAAGAAAGCCCCGAGCAGAGGATGGTCCATGACAGACTATCAGGGAGAGTACACTCCTCCCACCGTGCCTCAACAGCAAACCATCACACCCCAATTGGAACGCCATGCTCCCATTCCAGAGCACTCTCCTTGGCCACCGTCCACAGCTGCATCACCGGCACCCTCCCCCGCCGTCACTCAGCCGCCGCCGCCCAAGGATGGAACCATCCAATTGCCTCGACGGCCAAAGCTCCCTCCCCCTCGCCGCTCCCACTCGGTCATGGACTATGAGCCAATACCAGTTAACCAGCCTAAACCTTCGTCACGCCTCACCCTCCTCGACCTCCCCTCGGAACTCCACTACCTCTTCTGCGATTACCTTGACCCCATTGACAGCGTTTGCTTCGGCCTCGCCCACTCCAAACTCTACACCATCCACCGCCGCAAGTACGGCACAGTCGCCCTCTCGAGCCGCTACTCGGGCCCCAACGACTTGGAGTGGGCCTGGCGCGGCGCCGGACCCTTGGTTTCTTCCCCCAACCAGGATTCCACCAGCGAGAGGGCGCACATGCGCACCAAGGGCCAAGTCTACTGCCGAAAGTGCGGCATCTCCCGGTGTGAGCTCCATCGACACCTGAAGGGGTGGATGGGCGAGGAGATGGAGTACTGCGAGATCCGCGAGACGTACGGCAAGCCCGCCAGCGAGGAGCGGAAGCCGTACTGCTACATGAGCTCACCAAGGAACCCACACCGATGCGGTCGACATGGAGGGAAGAGCCGCAACTAAGCTGGGCTGAGTTTCGACCAAAAAAAAAGAAAAAAAGAGTTTCGATATCAAGTCATTTTTAAAGGTTGGAGCGAGTATCATCAATATATAACACACACATTGATTGAAGGAAGATTAAGTTTATTTCACTACATCTAATCTACTGAGGGCGTTGAGCGAAAGGAATGGGACGATGCAAAAGGACATTGCTCCAGCCCGGAAAATCGGAATGGGGAGTATTGATGAAATGTATGACAGCAAGCCATGTTTCTTGCATCAAACTTCAGAGAAGTTCAGAGAAGGTCGACCTCAAAGAAGAGTGGTCGCGTGACCTTTGTTATTTTTATTCTCTCATCTGCTTTAGTTCGAAATGAGACACTCGGTTTCATATTTCAGGGCCGATCACTTCATGCAGGTGATACGTCAATAGATCCTAGCCCAATGATCGAGATCCCCTCCCGTGTTGTTCGCCAATGGCCACCCTCCAATCCCCAACAACTTTACCCCAATCGTATGGTCGATGACCCCTCAAATGGCAATTCTGGATCCTTGCATAACCCTAACTCGTTTCATATCGGTGAGTAGCTGTTAGGGCGCCTGCAGCCAAGGCTCTTATCATCGTCTGTTATACAGCAGTGCTACGACTACTTACCTTGATATTGAAAACAGAGTCACGGGTAGCCCATCAGACTGAACTTAAAATATAATTATATTCACACATTAATTCATTACTCATAAGTACCAGGGCACTCTCCATTCCGCACCCTTGCACTGCCCACGGGTCGCAACCCAGTCCTCGATCCCCCGAACGAACCAGCCGCTCATCCAACTCTCCTGGGCCTCCGCCTTGGGCCCGCCGAGCTTGAAGGTGCGGCTGACGCAGCACGCGCCCCTGTTGTACCGCCACTGGAAGCACGTGCGGTTCCCGTGGAAGGCGGCGTCCCCCTGCCGCTCGTCGTAGAGGGCGCGGAGGAGCTCCCCGCGCATCCTCTCCGAGTTGAGGGAGTTGTACTCGTCCGCGGGGACGTCGAGGCCCTGGGACTCGCAGATGTTGGCGCAGGCGGCGGGGGACATGTGGGCTCGCCTCTCGACGACCGTCTTCTCCTCCTCCGGCTTCTGGCGGCTCCTGTCCTTGTGGCTGGCGCGGGCCTGGCTCTTGTCGTCGGCGCCTATGAAGCAGAGGTCGTCGGACATGTTGTCCCAGTCTTTCCTGGTCGGGGCCAGATGCGGCTCCACAAACTCATGGAACGTATCCTTTATGAGGAGATTGCTCTGTGAGTTTCCAGGTTAGTGTCACGATGACCGGCCAGTAGTATGAGGCTAGGTTATCGAACTTACAGCCATCTCCCGCCTCTGCTCGAACTGCCACGTCCGGCTAACCTCCTCCGGGCTCATGTGGTGCATGGTCAAGAGAGGCTCACACCAGTGTCCCAGCCCATAGGGGAACGTGCTGGGCTTCTCGCCGTTGAACATGGGGTGGGCCTGCTTCATCCGGGTGCCGACCTCCTCGGCGGCCAGAGCGACGAGATAGTCCCCGCAGCAGTTCGTGGGGGCCTGCTCGTCGTACTTGGCCGCCAGGTCGGGGCTGCCCTCCACCATCTTCTTGATCAGCTGGCCGGACATCACGTACCCGCTGCCGCCGTGGGCAAACGCCTTGCCCGAGGCCATGGCGGCGCTGCCAACGTACACGTCCCCCTCGGGAGCCCGCTCCCGGAGCCAGTGGACGAGGTTGGGCCAGACGATGTAGGTGTCGGCCTCGGCGAACACGTACCAGTCCATGTCGGGCTTGTGCTCCCAGGCGCGCTCGACCATGTTCAGGAACTTGTACTTGTCAAGGTCCCACGCGCCGTCCAGGCCCAGGGTGCACTGTTGCTGCGAGACGGGGCAGTTGCGCTGGGCGTCGTAGAGCTTGAACTCCTTGTGTGTCTTTCGAATTGTCTCGTCGACACGGTCAAGAACGTCATACAGCTTGTGCTCGCCGATTTGCTGATTCTATGACAGAGGTTCATCCTGCGTTAGTATAAACAAAAGCTCATCATACCGAACATGTCATGGGTTTTGTGTAGTAGTGAAAAATAACATACCAGATCCGAAAAGAGCAGGACGTTAGGAATACACTGCAAACTTGTAAGAAGCTGGGTGGGGATTTTAGAATAAGACTCGGTGGCGCCAGTCTTCATCACCACCACAATGCCCTGAGTGTCGGGGAAATTCTTGCACTGAGACGACACCGCGGGTCCAGAAGGCTCCGGGGCAGGACGAGGAGGAGGCCGGAGAACATCTTGTTGTAGTGCCGGAGGGCCCGATGTGTTCTCAGTGACGGGGGCTTCAGTGGTACTCGAGACGGTACCGGCGGCATCTACTCTCCGCTGCCAGTAGTCATCTTCCTCAAAGTAATCGCTCAGATGGTCATAGAAGCCTGCATAGCTGGGCGAGCGGCCCAAGTGCCAAAAGGGCATGATGACGAAGAAAGTGAGCGCCACCAGCAGCGGTACTCTCCAACTGCGCTGGGACAACATCTTGTCACCTTACCATTCCCTTTCCAAACTTCGGATTAAAAGCAACCCAAGGCAGCTGTCTGCTCAGGAGTAAGCCGGTTGGTATTAGACTTTGTTGAATGGAAGGGATATTCCCCCAGGGCTAGCAGCGGAGGAGTGAGTGAGTAGTATATTGACGGTTGCGTTTCAAGCAATGTCGCCTGCCCACTTGTTGAGAAAACTCATAAGTCAGAGACGGGAGTCGCAGAATATCTTGGAAATGGTTCAAGAATAAACAGTTACAAAGGTCCCGGGGGAAAGGTGCAGGAAACGGAGAGGGAGGACCCGGATAGGGAGAAGTAAACATGTCCGCGTGGTGGACGGATGGTGAGAAAACTGCATGTCGATCAGCAAACGGTGCTGCCCACGTTACTCGGCCATTCCCATCCCTCGTACAGAGAGAGGGCCAGGAATTGTGGATGCATATTTGGAAAGTCAATGGTTTGGAACCACAGTCTACGTGTGGTACCACAATTTTCAGCGCTCAGGACCGCAGATCACACAGGGGAGGGAGGAGGGAGGCCCGAGATAGCTCGAGGAGAGAGATACAAACACAGGCCGGCAAAAGGTAAACAGGGTGGGTCACCGAGGTTAAGATTAGGGAATTGTTTGTTCAAGGGGTTTGGAGAGGCGATCGACGAGCAGCTGTTGGACAGACGGTGAGAAGCGAAGAAGGATATCTCGCTGGCTGTGCTACGTTATCCGGGCGAATGATATCAGTCCCTGAGCGAGCTTCACAGTGAGACCCCTGGCTGGGGTTGAAAGCAATGTCCATCCATTCCGGGCACTTCCCTCGGAGTATGGATATGCACTTTTGATCTTGTCCGTGGCAGGGTCCTGCAGTTGAATTTAAGTTGGATACCAATAAGCAGATTTGAGCCTTGGCGAACACCCAATATCCAACCTCATGGTCACAGGGAGGGTCTTGGATACCCTAATCATAAACAGGACGGCGGCCTGCAGCGCGTCTCAAACTCGTCCATGGCAGAAAGACAGAAGCATCAAGCGTCCCATCTATTCAGCTGCGTTTTCCCCTCTCGTGGAGCACCTTCTGGCCATGTTGCGTCATAGTTGGAGCCCCAAACCCTTATTTTGAATGCGTGTTTCAGACTTCAAACACCAAGGCGTGACTAGGATAAGATCGACAACCCCCAGGGATCGGCGGTTCACGAGTGACGTCGAGAACGGACCAGGAAGAGGAATCTGGGATACTGATACGGCGCTTGGATAATATCAAGGCCCCGCCCTAATTAATTGCTTGTCAAGATCATCCTTAAATCGCACAATATTTGGCCCAGTCACGATAGATATCTGAAATTCCTTACATAGGCGCTCACTACGCCAAGAAATTCTCACCTATAGATATTATGTACACTTCTCTACCTTCATACTACGCTGACTACTTTTGCACTGGCCACTTTTTTCCTGCCACAAGAGCTGTTTCAACCCTGTCACAATGTTGCTCAGCATGAACACGTTTTATGTCAGTATGCTTCATGTACTGTCAGGCATGCACGGCAACTCTCTACCCCGAAGCGACTGGCATGGGCTTCGTGGGCGCTTATGGGATTTACATAGACTTGTTGCGAGGACCGTTCATGCCGTGGTCCGGAATGAGGCAGGAGAAATCCTGCTGCGATCATCGGGGCCACGGTTGGCCAAAGCGAGTTTTGCAAGGCTAAGTGTGAGAAACTTGGCCTAATTCGATGATCACCTCTCAAGCGGTTGATATGATCCACATACACCCCAAATCATTGAGTAGATGTAGATGAGAACATCGGCAGCTAATTGCTATGTACCTCTTCCGCATGGATAGCAGTATCCATGTCAACATTGAAGTGTTTGACCACAATCACATAGTGACGACTTCCTCACGGTGTATGCAGGAGTCAACCCTTGAAACGACGCAGCTCTCTGTTGTAACAGGACCGACACATGTGGCCACCAATTGATCTCGCAGGTTCGGGTGCAACGGTTTTTCGTGCCACTAGTGTTCTGTCCAACTTCACATAAATTATTCGTAACTCGAACCATAATCCTCGGTACAACCAAGTGTCCATATGCGGACCACACGCGATATTTGATCCGGCATATATGTTGGCTAACCTAGTGAGCTACGGACAATCGTGATCATGATGTGAAGTCGGTAACTTTACGTGTAGGGTAGGTAGGTTATTACTACAATAGAACTGACTGCCTAGTTGTCCTAATGATGTTCGACGAGCCATAGCCATTCCTCGAGATGCACTGAAAGGTATACTCCAATGCGAGAACTAAAGCTCCCTTGAAACCATGATGATCTACACAGGTGCGAAGAAGCTACGCAAGCCCGGGTTGCCACAAGATTGGAGACGAAACGAATCAGGCTTGACCAGCAGTTGAGAATAGGTTTATTGGTGAGTTTTTCAATTTTTTTTTGGGGGGGGGGGGGGGGGGGGGGGCTAGGTTACCAGAGAGTGCTGTCGCCATCTTCGATTTGATGGATGTCGAATTCAGATCGATGAAAATGATGTAGCACCTCTGGGCAGCCCTCTCCCCAGTGGCCGAGACCGAAGTGCAGCCTATACTGACGGGGAATCTTGTAGGCCTAAAGAGTCGAGGGTGCTATGTAAGTCGATACGGATTTCGCGATACCTCTTGTCTTGGTAATTCATTATCTAACGAAATAACAGGATTCTCCATCCCAAACAATCCTACGCCTGGCTCACAGTAAGAAACTTGCATCAGTTGATGGGCGAAGGCTTTAACTAACAACCCCTAGTCGATCTTGAGGGTACTGATGACTGGATAGCTCTCCTGAGCGTGAATTCACCGACAAATCCATCGTTGCTGCTCAGGATGGAGTTAAGATGATGGTATACAGTACGTCTTGTCGCAACCCTTCCTCCTCCTTTAGATTTGATGGATATGTCCGATTGGACAGCACTGATTTGGATGCTACAGAGGGCAACGCCTACACTGTCGGCCGCAGCAGCGAGACCAGCAACCTCTACAGCGAGGAAGACGCCTCGATGGATTCGCTGGATACTTTCAGCCCACTGTATGGCTCCGAACCACCTCTTTCCCACCGTTTGACTGCAATTCACTAAACCCTCCTCACAGGGACACGACTGGATTTATCGCCATCCAGGCCATCCGACTGAAGAAGTACGGTGAGGCCAAGATTGCTTCGGGCAATTCTCTAGTCTAACCGAAAAATGAGCTATGTCTGTTGGACAGACATACATTCAGGGCCAAAAGAAAGTCAGGTGTAGCTTTTCAAAAGTAGATCTAGGTTTCTTTTATTTAGCTCTGCATAAATACACAGAAATTACCCGTTTAAACATATGTTAGAAAATCCGAATGTCGACATAAGTTTAAATCCTTATAGAACTCAAGTAGCTAAGAGATAGCCCTTGGGATATTTCACAAGCTAGGCTATTCAAAATAAATCAGAATAAATGGAATATATATCTGATAAGATACCTTTGCCTAATTAATGAATATTTATTTCACGCGACACAACCTACCTGACACCGTATTCCCCAAGGACAGCGGAAAGCACGGGAAATGGTGCAATTCCGGGGATGTTTGACGTACGTCAACGCCAAGTGCTGCGCGCCATAACCAGGTCCCCACCACTCCTCCACGTTGCTGCGTCCGCCTTCCTAAATGAACGAGCGAGCTCTGGCCGGCTTCCCAAACTTGTGTGTTCCTGTGCCCTACTCTCGGCACCTGTTTGCGCTCAAAACCCCGCCGCCATGGCAAAGCGCGCAGTATAGCCCCCGTGGGACTGGGTGTTGAGAAAGCCCCCTTGAGTAGAGTCAGCCTCGGTCCTAGGCTCCTAGCACCGTAGACGAACTTCTCTTAATCTACAAGTGATGACTCAACGACCAGTTTCGGTTCGGGTTGAGGCCCACCGCGGCGCATTATTGTGCCCTTGATTCTTATCACGTTCCCAAGACAAATCGCGCGGCAGGACCCTTTAGCGCGCACGTCGAGCCGATTCATGAGTAATGACAATCCGCAAACCTCCTAGCGTTTCCCTCCAGATCGGCTTCGGCCCTTGCACGATACCTACTAAAAGGAGGTGATTCCTTATCGGTGCAATTTGATGCCCCTTGCGCAGGTTTATCAATCTATGATGCCTACTCTCCCAGACGACTTATGAACTCACCTCAACTCTTAACCCCCCGTGTCTGCCTTGCCGTTACCCAGGAGCGCTTTCTCCTTCTCTTTGCTCTGCGATATACCCACTCACCTGTCCGTCACGTCTACGCGGCCCCTCCTAGACCTAATCTCGAGAGACCCCGCCCTGCTGGCTCAGGGTCCTGATAGATATCAAAGTTCTTGTTTCATAACAGACTTGGTGTGGTTGGCCTTGATAGAACCCTCCATACCAGTTGGACCCCAATGGTCTCAGCATATCCCACCCTGACGTACGGAATTCGGGTGGCCCAGGGTCTCTGCTACCCTGTCTTGGTCCATGACTATGGCGGACCATCGTTCATGTGAACATCAACCTGTTCAGACCAGCGCCGTGCTCGTTCTGAATGCCACGAAGCGGCCCCTCATCCCTCCACCCTCTCCACCCACGCCCTCTCTACTGTCACCACCGGATAGCGCCTGCGAGACACCGGAGGCACTTGATCTGAACACACCTGGGAATCCAATTAATAAGAATGACGAAGTAGAGAGGAAGTGGCTAAACGATGGCCTGCATGTCCTGCAGATTGAGGCCGCAGCTCTCAACAGTCTGGCAACCCTTTATCAGACCGACCGGACAGCCCGGCTCGGCTTCACCACCGCCGTCGACACCATTACGCGGCAGAGGAGGCTCGGCGGGAGACTCATCATAGCCGGGGTGGGCAAGTCGGGCCACATCGGTAAGAAGCTCGTCGCTTCCTTCCAGAGCCTCGCCATCCCGGCCGTGTTCCTGCATCCCACCGAGGCCCTGCACGGCGACCTGGGTCTCCTGGGGCCCCACGACGTCGTCATGCTCATCACATTCTCCGGGAAGACCTCTGAGCTCCTGCAGCTGCTCCCCCACCTGGATGAGGCCCTCCCCCTCGTCGTTCTCACGGCGCACACGCGCCAGGAGACGTGTGTCATCTTAACGCACCGCCCTGACGGGATCCTCCTCCCGGCGACCATCCCTGAGCCGGAGACGACCTCGTTCGGCGTCGCAGCCCCGACCACGTCCACCACCGCTGCGTTGGCGGTCGGGGACGCCCTCGCGATCGCAGCCGCTAACGAGCTCCATCCTAGCGTGTCGTCAGTGTTCGCGAAGAACCACCCCGGTGGATCGATTGGTGCCGCGTTCCGGCGACGCGCGCCCCAGACCATCAGGGACCTGGCGGTGCCGTGGGACAGGATGCCCGCGGTCGGCGACGACGCGCTGGGCGTGGACCTGCTGCGGGCTGGCTTCGGGGCCGCAGTTGGGTGGGTGCGGGTGGGCGAGGGCAGCGTCGTGTCGGCAGGCAGGATACGCACGCTGGGCAACGAGCAGCTCTCGCAGGTAGCTCGGCTCGTCCCTGGGCTCGTCGTCGGGCGGGCGGGCATGATTCCCATGGCGTCGGCGACTCGAGTCGACCAGGCAGAGGTTCATCTCCGAGAAATGTGGGCCTCGAGCGCCTGCGGTGCAGACTCGGTGGTTGCTGTCGTCGACGAGGGGAGCATCGTTGGGGTGCTGGAAGCGACTGTGGTTCTGCGAGAAATGGGAGTCTGAAAGGGAGGGGGGGCACCGCTCGGTTTTATGGTAATTGACCAATCTCAGGCGCAAACGGGCGCACGTGGGCTCGCATCGGTTCAGCCACTAGGTGTAAACGCATTCCACTCGTCTATGTAGAGGGAGCACACATATGTGTGAGCGTGCCACTCACCCACCAAGGTGGACCTGCGGGGAGGGTCGAATTGGCATCCGTTCCATGTCCACCGGTATCTTTGACACATTATTTGCCCATTCGTACATATGTATCATGCAAGAGCATGGGAGGGGTAGAGTCAACTGCGTTGGGACGGGAAAAGCTTTTCGACAGGGCCGGTTGGAGCGGAAATGGCTGGCTGCAGGATGATCAGAATAGGGCAGTATTATAACGGCCGTATCAGCGGGATGTAAATATAGACTGTCACACATACACAATGAATGCACGTCGATTACTTGGCTCGTATGGTTGCCACGTCGGTGAAATATGTGCGCGCGCAAAATCAAAGCAGCAGCCAATCCATCTCTGTGATATATGCGATGGTCTTGTCGTATTGGCCCCTGTCTGCAGTAGAGAGCGCCAGTCAGGCGCATCACATGTCGACATAGGGCGGTGAATGGGGCACACACATTGCTAATCGGGAGGAAAGGGCCTTTTGTCATTCGCGGAGATAGAAAGCCTGTATTGAAGCAAGGACAGCGCGAGACAACTGCTTGGCCAAGTGTGCCAATTGAGATGCATGGAAGCAATTCACGATGCGAGGGTAGGCAAGCTGACGCTGATACGGCATCCGTTGGGTGTGATGCAGCACGCAGCCCTCACCAATCCCGATGACGATAAATCAGGAGCAATTGGCACAAATCGGTACTGGGACAAGGATCCGGGCGTAGTGCGGGAGGGAGAGGCGGCCGAAGAGGGTGGGGAGGAAACTAGTATAGTTGGGTAAGATTTGGTGGGCTGGCTAGTGAAGGAGGTGACGAGAAGTTTGCCGAGATGCAAGTTTGTCAGAAAGCTCGAGCATTGATGGTGCTGGGATTGATCAATGTTGGTTGCAGCGGTCCAGCGTTCTCGCGTGACCACTTGCTTCTTCTGAATAGCGGTGGATCTCGCCGTATTTAGATGAGGCTGATCCTGGCCTCCTTTAAACTGCAGCTGCGGCCAGGTGCGCTGGGGTATATCTGTAGCAAAGATGGGCTGGCAATGGGACCCTTGCTTTCTTGCAGGTCGCAGCCCAATGTCTCACCTAAACCCCAAGCGACATGGCGACTGGGGCAGAGGCATTCTCTGAGCTCGCCAGTGCCTCTGGAGGCTGGCTAGTGAGCTGGGTCCGCTGGCCGTGTTTCCTGATGGCAAGGGATGTCGACATGCGGCTGCATATGCACAACTGTTCACATCGTTGGGGCTGATGCACGGTCGCGGGCGATATGCGGGCACCACTAGCCGCATGTTGGAGACGGCCCACGGGTTGCACAGCATCCGCCTGATGGTGTGGTCGCATGTGCCCTCCTACTCATTTGGGACGTGAACGATAGCTGAGATTTCTCGGTATGTGTGTGGAGCGCTATCGGCGAAGCGACGGGACGTGATGCCCTGGATGGAATTTGTTTGTTGGTGGCATTCCAGAGGTCGTGCTCTCTGGCTGGTGTGAGGAGAGTCATGTAGCACGTTGCTGGGGACTACCAGGCGAATCTGCCCCCATCCTATGGTGATTGCTCTTATTAAATGGTAATTCTCATAGGAGTAGTCCATCTTGAAGCTGCTGGCTCGCCAGGTCAGTCAATGGCCAACCTGCGGCAAACGTTGGAAAAAAAGAAACCTTGGTGTTTGCCACCAGGTCCAATTGCATCTCCTGGTGCATCCGTGCCCTGTTCTCATCGAGACCAGCTGGGGTGCTGGACAGGGAGCTCTGCCTCTATTCTCTTGTTTGAGACTCGGTTCCTTCGTGTCTTCATCTGCCCTGCAGGACGGGGCAAATCATTCGACATCTGAGGCCGAACGAACGACATACAACCTACATATGCGCACCTCAGCCGCCGTCATGGTTGCGACAACCAAGTTCTGACTGGTCCTCAAGGACCTGACCGGGGTCTCTGTTGGCTGGCGCGCACAGAGGTAGGATCCTTGGTTGGACTCCTGCCACTCGTTCGTTATCCATCCACTCATTCACCCATCCATTCGTTCATTCATTCATTCATTCTTTTGGCTCAACGGAGCCCAACATCGTTCCGCTTGTACGTGCTACCCCCCTTGCACCTTATCTGCACAAGGTTCAATCCGGCATCAACACCAGGCCCTGTCTGTTGTGGTGACCATGCTAACCCCGCCCAGCCATCTCAACGACCCTCTTTTCATGCTGCCTCTTTGGCCTAAACTTAGAGAACCTTACACCTGGGTCCTTGTAAGTCACAGCTCCAGCAGTAGCGCCATGTCACTAGCTGTACGGCTGACAGAGGACCCCTGGTGAAGCAAGCTAACTGTTTGATGTTGTTATAACAGGCCTGCACCT